TTATACAGTATGCCATGTTGGAGTATGAGTAGTGCATTCTCAGTGAAAAGTACAGGTGTGCATTACAAGTACCTTCATGAATTGTGAACTCTGGTCACTTCCTACTCAAGAAAACCATAAGCCATAAACACATACCTCAGGTCTTTAGCACATTAGGACATCATTCACCCCCCAGCAGGCATTTTCCAAATGTTCCAAACATCTGGCTATTGTTCATCTAAGGCTAAATTCTACAGTAATTTATAGTTAATACTTGAATATATATATATATATATATATATATATATATATATATATATATATATATATATATATATATATATATATATATATATATATATATATATATATATATATATATATATATATATATATATATATACACACACAATTTATATATACACAATTTCATACTTTTTGTGCAACCGAACCAAAACAAAAAACAATGCAAGTGAGCTCGACATGACTGTGTTCTGTCCAATATTTCCTCAGCACTGTTATTTGGAACAGTAATTTCCTGAGTACAGTATTCCAATCCAAACACAGCTTCAGCCTGTTTGCACTAACCTAGTTTCACCTCGAAGTTCTTGCTGTCTCTTCCATGAGTGTTGTACGCTTCACAAATCACACCGTCCTTCAGAACTGCAGCTGTGGCCTCAAGAGTGACTGTGCTGATCACCCTGTTCCCTTTTACTGTCACCGACTACACACATGCAGATCAATCACATTACAAATATACAGTGAAAACAGTTTTCCTAATTTGTTTGAAACACACGCATCACACACATACACGCACCTCTTTGCCAGAAGGTGTCCAGATGAATTGTGGAGCAGGATGACCAAGAGCAGAGCAGTTGAGAGTGACCATCCCTCCCTCCTTATCAACCAAACCCTTGACTGGAGCATCAATCTCAGGCTGACCTTCAAAGCAAAAGTGCAGGTTTATTATCAGTGGTTGATCTTTGAGTTTATTTGGTTTACGTCACCATGAAATCAAAATTCACATTTAGTGAAGTTTATTTATAACCTTATTTAGAGAAGGTCATGTGCTTATGATTGCTTGCAGCTGGTCATGCATCATCCAAATTTATGATTTACCAATCAGATGATTCCTAAGCCACTACAAATACCCTAAGTTCTGTCTAACAGCCATCTTTGTTTGAAGAATCCCCCCTTCCACTCCTACTCCTCCTCCTTTCCTATAGGTGACACGGTGATCCAGTGGTTAGCACTGTTGCCTCACAGAAAGAACGTCACTGGTTCTAGTCCTTACCAAGCTAGCTAACGTTTCTGTGCGGAGTTTACATGTTCACCCCGTGCTCACGTGGGTTTCCTTCGGGGCAACCCGGTTTCCTTCCACCATCCAAAAACATGCAACTTAAGTTAACTGAGTAATCCAAATCTGCACTATGCTCCTAGTATGTAGCAATGTCTTAAGAGCAATCCCTATCTGTTCATTAGCTACTACAGCAGGGGAGTTCTCGAGATCTATACCTGAGCTTAAACTCCCCTCTCGCCTTGCAAACTGGAGAGAGCCTCAAGCTCGAGGATCTTATGAGCTCAGGGCTCTCTCCTGGGACAGTATGCCAAACAAGCTTTATAACCAATCATCAGCTAAATGTGAACTCTTAAATTGTCATAAAATTACATAGTACTTAAATGCAAAATATGTAAGATTCTTTTCATTAAATTTTCCCAAAAATACTAGAATAGTATTATATACAGTATTTTGCTGACTTATATATACAGTAGTTGAAATTAAAATGATTAGCCATCCTCTATTTTTTACCCAATTTATGTTTAAGGGAAAGACTAATTTTGTAACACATTACTAGACATAATAGTTTTCATAACTTATTTTCTAATAACTGATTTGTTTTATCTTTGCCATGATGACAGTTCTATATATATTTTCAAGATATTAGTAATCAGCTTAAAGTGCAATTTAAAGGCTTAACTAGGTTCATTAGATTAAGTTATAATAATTAGTCAAGTCATTGTATAACAGTGGACTTAGTATTATTATTATTATTTTAAATGTAAACTGCTTTTATTCTAGCCAAAATAAAAAACAACAAACAAACCAAACAACCACTTGCCTAATTACCCTAACCTGCCTAATTAACACAATTAATCAAGTTGAGTCACTTTAGGCTGTATAAAAGTGTCTTAAAATTATCTAGTAAAATATTATTTACTGTCATCATGGCAAAGATAAAATAAATGAGTGCTTAAAAATGGTTTATGAAAACTATTATGTTTAGAAATGTGTTAAAAAATATTCTCTCCGTTGAACAGAAATTGGGGAAAACAATAACCGGGGGGTGGGGGGTAGCTAACAATTTAGGGGGGGTAATAATTCTGAATTCAACTGTAGGTCATTTTAACTAGTGACAAGTGACATGGGCCGTGTATTGTGTGGGCATGCTAATCATATCACAAATCTTCAATATCTGGTTGGGTTTTCTGGAAAACAAGGAAACAACAAGGACGTTTTAAAATGTTTAATTAGACTGTACAGTGTATTTAGAATGATAAAAAAGCACTGCTTCTTCCAATACTAAAAAACAAGAAGCGGCCCACTGTGGCATTATAAAAGCTCCACTGCTTTTGTTGCTCCCAAAATACTGTGCCTTTAAGTATACAGGTGATTTATCAGTGCACCTTTAAAAAAATATCATAAAAGGTGCACTAATCATAATTGTTATTAAACTATTAACCTCCCTTTCCACTTCGAGGAAAGTGGGGCTCTATAAATATTCCACAATTGTCTGTGTAGTTAGTAATGGCATTTCTTAAGATCCAAACTGAAGGATGAAATCAAATCCCGTCCTACATCAGATCTTTACCAAAAGCTTTTTCACTTAAAAATATTTCACAATATGAGAAAAAAAAACTTCAATTACATGCTGACTTTAAAGTGTGGTCAGACTAAACTTTTAGTTCCTTTGACTTTCATTCATATTTATAGGACAAAGAAAGGAAATAGAAGTTCCCCTTCGGTTGGGGAACTTCAGTGCCATGAATGGGAGGATTCGGATCAGAAGCCGCTTATCTGGAGAGTATTGAACGGGCCAATGAATGAAATTAATTGGCAGCGTAAGCTTGCGCAGGTGTGCGACATCTGCAATCATCTCAGCATATAAGCACACCTGAAGCCAGCAGACGCCATCCTTTTCGCTTCGGATCCTTTCTGAGTGAGTCGATGAGGGTTCCTCTTGCTGATCAGCACTTCAGAGCGAACGAGTGTGTCTCCCGGTCCAGAGTGGGTCTTCGCGGTGGCAGACGGTCGAGCTGGGTTACTCCCTTGCCTGCGGTTCTTTGGGTCCGGTCCTCCAGAGCGGTGCATATAGTTGCAACTTTCCTAAAAGAGCAACACAGTCGTGCAGCACGACTGTGTTGCTCTTTTAGGAAA